ATTGTGTTTGTAGCTCAGGTCATGTTGGCAATGTGATGACTGGTAATACTTTAGATGCCCTAGAGAAGACTCCTTGCATCCCTTTGTGCCTTGCTTTTGTCCTCTTGTATCACTATGGCGAGTAGTCAAGGTGTTCTATAAGTCAATTTGTGCCTTTGCGAGTCGAAAACAATTTGAAAAGTAGTCCCACAAAGCTAGTTTTGCTATAGTGCAAGTCAACCCAACTTACTGTGCAACCGCGCCCTAAAGGAAAAAATTATACTCGATCTTGGTAGTGTACTATTCTCCGGATGGTGAATAACTGCAACCTTTGTTGCCCTCCAGAACTCGCTAACATCCTTCTTTAGCAAGGATTTCCAAGGCAGACTTGTTCTTTCGTACCTTCCATGTGTTTTTACCCAAGAGGTTGCCTCAGATTCAACCTAGATAACTATTGCCGCTTGGATACAAGGATTCCTTCAAATGATGATCGTCGAAAACGCTAAGTCAACAGGGTCAGCTATCACCTTCATCACTCACTCAATGGACCCAGATAATAAAGTGTTATCATTAGAGAAGGAGAACTGCATACATAGAACATTATGTAGTTTTCCATTGGTTGGCATCTAAGAGATTGAATGGTTATGACCAGCACAGACATTGTTTGTTGGTTGCTCGGTTTCTCACAGCTACAAAGGATGCTTACCCCATCTATGATCTGATCCCTTATGAAAGGTTGTACTCAAGCTACATTGGTAGAGAACTGCTTTTCGAACTTTGTGAATGAACATGGAACCATTGTAATGAGTAGCTTTCAGAAGCTTGCAGTCTAGTGCAAAGTTCACATGGTCCATGCTATATTACCTAGGGAAATAGAGATTGTGAGTAATTAGTTTATGCTCTGTAGTACTCTCCGCATCCCGAGAATGAAGTATTGTGCTGTCTTGGATTCCTCCCAAAGTAACAATGCTTCATGGACGCCAATGAAGGAAATTCTTCAGACAAAACTTACTACGAAGGGCAAGTATTAGAAAGTGTCTTGACCAAATTAGCCTCTCTGATACTCTGAAGTTAGGTAGCCTAATGCTATCACTGATGTTAGAAAATGGATGCCATGCTTCTCTTCTCTTAAAAGTCTTTCACACCGAATCTTGGGGCGAGATTCTCATAAGGGGGGAGGGCTGTAACACCCTAGTTGTTTGTCACCAGTTAAGCAATGGGTTTGAACTCAAACATGACATGTTAAGTGGTGATGAAGGTGTCAAGATCAAGTCTACAAGAGTGAGCTCCAACTTAAACTTGGACAACACACCCTTATTACATGTGGACCCTTGTTAAGATTATGCAAGAGTAATGTTAAACATGCTTATTTCATGTACATTACATCAACATGCATCCATCTTGACCAGTGGAAAAGTTTTATGAAGTTTGAAATCAAGAAGTCACATGAAATGATAAGTTATAATCTCTCTTGGATTGCTTTATTAAGTGAATGGAATTATAGGTAATCAACCAAACCTTTCAACCTATCTCAAACAACTCTACTTACACTCTACAACAAAAGTCATGAAGGGTTCGTGTTGAGCGAAAGTCAAGAAAATGTCTCAATCGGTCAAAAACTCTAATTTAAGTTTTACCATGATGCTACTTTGACTTGGTTTGAACTGTATCTTAGAGTGTTTGCATGGCAGTGGAATCTAAATAAAAGTTGAAGTTTGAGTGGAGTAGAACAAACTTTGTTTTTGGGTCAAGAGCTATATCAGCTTGTAAGCAAGTCAAACGGAGCCCTCAAGTTGGAATTAATGGTCATTTTTGGAGCTCAAAATTTTGTTAAGTTCAGGTTAATGAAACTGAATTTTCAGTTTCATGAGCCCTACTTTGCAGCTCTCTATCTTCCAATATAATCCAAGTGAGACCTTAAACCTTTAAGAAAAGTTGTAGTCCTCATATAGATCTACAACAATGTGCAATTGGTTTAATTTTTCATTGCTCGGTTTAGGAGATTGAGAGGTGAGAAAATAGGGGTTCAGTCGGTTTTTCAAGCATTTTTGAGCTAGCCTCAAGCATTTGAACGTGGCCGACCTATACAAACGCTTGCCGCCACGTGGCCATCATGCTCAAGCCGTGCCCCCACTCGCCTTGGGCGTGTGCATGTGCTGAAGACACGAAATGGATGCCGCTGTCTCTCCCTTGCTCTGCATTCTCTCTCTCCCTTGTTGTTCTCCTCCTTCAGCCAGGCACGGCGGCAGCAGGAAGCCATGGCCGCCGAGCTATGCTCCATGGACGCCCGGTTCCCCTGCTCCCTCTCCATGGCCGTCGGTCCAAGCACCGCTGCATGCCGATGCCCCGACCACCTCGGTCGTCCTCCCTTGTCGACCTCGCTCCATTAACGTGCCTCAGCCGGTCGCCAGTCAAGCCGGCCCTTAGCCTCGTCGAAGCCTCGCCGTGTCGGACCATGGCTGGGAGCTACATCAGTCGTAGTCGACAGTGGCCAAGGCTGGCCGGCCCCTCCCCGTCGTTGCCGGCTCTCGCTGGTCGAGCCCGGCCGGCCCAAGCCAAGTTCTGCTCTCCTCCCGTGATGAAGAGGATGCGAAGGACCACGGTAAGAATTTGAAGAAGTGGGAGGGTCTAAGTGCGAAGCCGCGAGTCACATGAATAGTGCTAGAAAGGATATGTTTGTTCAAATTTAATTTGTGAAAACTGCAGTGCTAGAAAGGATATGTTTGTTCAAATTTAATTTGTGGAAACTGCAGGGTTCCCGATGCAAGATCTATATTCCTTTTATTTGGTTTTTGCAGATTTGAATGATCAACTTTGCAAATTCGTAGTAAATTGTAGAAAAATTCAAAAATAGCAAATGAGTATTTTTGGAATACTTGTGAAATTATATATGCAGTAGATCTATAATATAGCACGATTTAGTTTAAAGTTTTTGCTGTAAAAATCAATTTATACAGTTAGGTTCTTAATACTAGTTATGTCTTGTCTTTTTCATAACTGCAGTTGTGGTGCTCAAATAAATATGAGTTTTTTATGGAGTGCTATCCAGGTGATGGTTGTTGTCTGTTAAAAATTTGAGGAGTTTAGGCTTGATAGTTTAAGAGTTATAAAAATAACAAATGCCCTGTGTTACTTTGCTCCTATTCTGAATAGGACTGAATGTTTGAATTAATTGGCTCAGTTAAGTTATGAATCATGACATGATGACAATACATGAGTTGTAGTACTTTTCTTAAGATTTTCAAAAAGATAAATAGCATAATTTTTAGTTAAGTAGATTTTTAGTTATTGTTGCTTAAATTTCTGTGATTGTTTCTGTCTAAACCCAGACAGGGTTGCCTTGTTGGTACTGTGCCCAACTCATACTATTTTTTTTTGCGAAGGGTCTCGAGATTATATTAGAACTCAGTATAGTACATCCTCAAATTACACAAGAAAAAAATCTAAAATAAAAAATACACAATATTCTATCTAGATTATTCAATCTTCTTCTTTTTCAAAGGTATCTCTCGAACATCGGAGCCAAAGCCACTTGGTCGTCTGCCGATGAAATCGACGCCTACAAAGGCGATCTCGTCGTGGCAATCACTAAAGTTATCACAGAAAACACGACCCCGACCGAAGATCATCTGATTTTATGGAAATATTTATTTAGACTAAACCTTAAACAACTAGAAATAAAACTTGGGAAAAAAGGATGGATCCACTACCCTTCTAATCCCCGGTAGACGCACTGGTAGACGGCGGCGCTAGCAAGGAGCAGGCGGCGTTTTCCTAGGCGGCTAGGGCAGTCAGGGCTCGAAAGCACAAGGTTTTTATCAATTATTAATTTTCATCAACTCATACTATTTTATCTTGGAGCTAGCCATGTAACTAGCATAACCAAACTAATCTAATCGCTAAGCAAGAACTTAAGCTATTCATTTTATCTACTCATGCGCAATGCCATCTCCACCAAAGATTGCAGCGTGTGGAGAATGCAAAAAGATATATAGTCACGGACAAGATAGGTAGATATATGCACACATGCATAGTTCGAGTTTTTTTTCCGGTCTCACGTTTTGAACATGAAAAGAAAATGCTTTGGATACGTTTCCAAGCATGACCTATATTTAGCCTGTTCGCTGGTTGGTTTTTGGTTAATAAGTCCGGCTGGTGTTAATTTATTGTGAGAGAAAAGCACTGTATCATGGCTGATAAGCTCTGACTATAACCAATAAGCGAACATACTGATTCTCTAAAAGACATTACAATTTTTTGTAATATTCATTAGGGTATAACTATTTTCTCCCGTTGTAACGGACGAATATATTACCTATATGTCATATCTTGAAGTTAGTAAATGAGACAGGGCTACAAGACTATATCAACATAAACATCACACTCGAAATATCATTTTTTTAAATCACACTCGAAATATCATTTTTTTAAATAGCATGACAAACGCTCAAACTTCAATTACTATGATAATATTTTGTTTCTGTCGCAGCGCACTGGTATTTTTTCTAATCAATATAATATGCCATCACCTCATATTAGGTTTTGAGTCTTTCTCTATTGGACATATTCATTTTATCATATCTATCTCAAGGTTATTACATTTGTCAAACAAAATCGCAAAGGTCACACGCGCAAATTACTAGTTAGTCAGTTGTAAAGGCTCGAGATTTTTTACGTGGAAAACATTTTTTTAATATAAAACCTTGCATAGTTACCACGAAAATAAAAAGAGAAAAAAAGAAAACAGAAGAGAAAAGAACAAGGAACAGTCCTGCTCCGTCACTTTCCCCACTCTGCAGCTGCACGGGCATCCACACAGTTCATCCAACGCCACCGGGCCTCAACAATCTCCCCACCTGCCGCCGCCGCCGCATCAAGCGCTAGAACTAGGAACCCCTCCCAAAGAATCTCAAGAAGACAAGGACGCCGTCGAGTCGCCGCCAGCCGCCTCGATGGGGTGCGGGCAGTCAAAGATCGATCAGGAGGAGGCGGTGTGTCGGTGCCGGGAGCGGAAGCGGCTGATGGCCGACGCCGTGGTCTCGCGGAACGGTTTTGCTGCCGCCCACACTGGCTACACCGTCCGCCTCAAGAGCACCGGCGGCGCGCTATCCGATTTCGCCCAAGGCGAGGCGCCCAACCCTAGCCTGGTGTCCTCCCATACCCACCACGCTCCCGCTGCGGCGGCGGCATCTGTCTCGACTCCGCCAGGCCCTTCCGCAACTTCCGTCACCAGCCCCTCCCCGCCGCCGCCGCCGCCATTCGCCTACTTCTCTCATTCTAGCCTCCAAAGGTCCTCCTCCACTCCCAATATTCCTATGCCGGAGCCGAGGGCCGCCGCCAAAAACCGCCCTCCTGCCGATGCTCCTATCCGAGAGGAGGATGAGGATGAGGACGAGGAGGAAGACGATGGGCATATCAAGACCGACAGCGACAGCGACGACGACGACAGTGATGAAGACGACGATCACCATGAGCATGACGATGTTAATGTGGACGGCATGGTGCATGGACACCAATCAAAGCGGATTTTGATGAGTAGTGTGGGATCTTCTCCAGTAACACCACCTCCGCCTCCAAGGCTGAACCAGACCCCACCAACGCCTGCCACCGCAATGCCACCGCCCCCAGTGCTGGAGTCACAGATGGCTACCTGGGATTACTTCTTTGGCCCAACTCCCACCCCACCACCCACCCTAGAGCAGCCTGCTGATGATACTTTGTGGATGGAAAGGCGTGATAATGAGCCAGTGGCTGAGGTGAAGGCACCTGTGGCAAAACCAGTTGTTAGTGAGCCAGCTGCTACTGAGGAAAGGCCACCACAGACAGCCGCAGAGAAGGAGAAAGCAATTGAGGAGATGGTGGCTAATCTACCGCCATCGAAACCTATTGTGAGGAAACCACCCAAAGCACCTGGCCCACCACCAGCAGCACACTACCAGCATGCCCCTTCGATGGGTGCAGTTGAAACTCGGAAGGGGAAGGTAATGGTGGCATCAGGAACTGCCAGTTTGCTACATATTGTTACACAGCTTGATGATCACTTCCTTAGAGCTTCAGAGAGTGCACATGATGTGTCAAAAAAACTGGAGGCCACCCGAATGCATTATCACTCCAACCATGCTGACAGCCGAGGCAAGTATTGGTGCTACTCAATTTGCTTCCTAATGTTTATGTGATGCTGCACACCTATTGAGTCCAAAAAATATAGCATGTTACTTTTAACTTGCTTTTGGATCGATTTCAAATTGTTTCTCTTGTGTGTCAATATATACTTTTGGAATCACAAAATGTGGAGTTCAGAATTCTTACCTTCAGTTTGTAATGTGACAAGCATGAGATATCTTATAGCTTTAGTAATAGCAACACATTTGTTTTTTCCCCATGTGATCCACTAGAAACTAAGTTCCTTTTATATTTTGTAGCAGTAGCACCTTGAAACATTATTTTATATATTTAGGCTTATTTATCTAAATTTTAGAATGCCTGGTTGTAGTGCAAGTTTACTAAGGACATCAATTTTGTTTTTTGCCCAAGATCATTACTTTTATTGAAGGTTTATTACATGATTCTTGATGCGAATACAAAATTTGGCTGAAGATTTTATGCTGTAACCCAGTTGATGGCTTGAAAAATTGTTTTAGAAGTTTCCTGGCTGTATAGCCACCTCAGTGAACAGATTACTTTATCCTCTGTTGTCATATCCTTAGACATTGAAGTAATGAGTGCAAACTTTCTTCAGAAAACTATGGTGATCATCAAATCAATTGTAATAAATGCTTTAAATGGTTTCAACACATGCACTCATTTGAAGTGGAAACACTCAGTTTGGCCTAATACTTTGATTCCATACTTGTGCTTTGCCGGAGTTTCCTCATGTTCCATTTATATTTACTTTATTCTTTATAGATGGTTTTATATCATACACGTATCGCATGCTGGTTTCGAAAAAAAAATCTTTTTTCCTGTTAATGTGTTTGATCCAAGGTTTATGATTAGATCATTGAGCAGCATGATGAAGGCACAACAAGTTATTTGCAAGTAAACTAGTCATTATTAGTACTATTTTATTACTGTCATTCCCTACTTTCTATTCCTTTGCTTTGGACACAAATTTTAGTAACATATCAATGATGTAAGTTTCTTCAATTTTATTATGAGCCAACTGCATAAATGCACAGTAATTTTGGTAAATGTTACAGAAAGCCCAGATATATTGCTTACTGGCACAAAATATTTGGTCTTTGGCCCAAGCATCGCATATAATTTCATTAATGTGATAAAAAGGTACGAGCAGCATGTACAATGCGTCAACGCCCATTTCATCTCTGGCTGCCGCCAGCTGCCCCAATGATTGGAAATTGGACAATTGTCTTGATTACATGACAAAATCACATATGAAAACTTGTTGCTGAGATGTCATTAATTTTTTGCACAGCTCGAGCTCCGAGATCCAGATTGGATATGTAGTATGTAGATTAAATTAAAGTGATGTCCAAACTATAAACAAAATGAATCATCTCAACACCTCAACATATCTCCAGCTCCAGCTCCAGATCCAGGATTTCTTGGAGCTACAAAAATCTAGCTGGAGCTCTGCCAAACGGGCTCATTTGTGAAAATAATAATAAACATATGTTTTGTACTCTCAATCTTTTTAATTATTTATGTGCTGCCAAGTTGGATTTTAATCTTGTCATGTCGTATTGCCATTTTTCTAATAATTATGCGGCTGCTGCCATAACCTGTACCATTAAGAATCAGTTATCCTAATCACAATGGAACACGTTGAAGAAGTTCATATTCCATGCAGCTTCTGTTTTTGCCATTTCTTGTTCTCCAATTTTGACCGAGATTTACTTTTCTATTTCTGAACTTCCCATTTTACTTATTTCTAATGCGTGTACAGTGTCATGTTTCCTAATGATTTCTCTTAATGTTTTTAGGACATATTGACCACTCTACAAAAATTATGCATGTTATCACATGGAATCGCTCCTTCAAGAACTTACCTGATCATGAGGACCTGAACGATAATTTTGATACTGATGATAGATTGGAAACTCATGCTGCAGTTCTAGATAGAATGCTTGCTTGGGAGAAAAAACTGTATGACGAAGTGAAGGTAATATATATTCAACTAATTTGTTCAATATTTTGATTAATTCCAATGCTATTGCCTTCAAAATTGTTTCTTCCTGTCACCTCTTTGTTTTATATGTAAGAACAGTACGCTGGAACACTTCTGTAATTGTGGGTATATTCGTTTCACTCTCATTATTCAAAAAGCAAGTTGTCAATGGTGATCCTTTGATACAATTACTCACATTAATGGACATCTCTTTATTTACACCCCAACTGTTAACTTAATCTTGAACTTTGGTAGCGTAAACTAATTGTTTCTGTAATAGACCTGTTGCAGCTCATATTTAACTATTTAAGTATTGCCTAGCATTGCACCTTGTATGTGTCTGTGGTTTTCTCAAGAAAATCAGCTAGTGTGTTGCAGGGTTGTTGACAGTTATTATTCAAATTGCAATTACTTCAAATCCTATCATAAGGGGTACATACCGAGTGAGAAGCCATCTGACAACTTAAGCATAGTGTAAAAAACTGCCTAATACATACTTTTGGCCTGTTGTTTCTTTTACTATCAACTAATATGCAAAAATGTTAGCAATGTCTCATTTTCTGTGCTTTTTACTGTGTTTCTTCCAATTTCTAACCACCTCTTTTTTCTGGTTTACCTCTGCGTATGTCAAATTAGGCTGGGGAGCTTATGAAAATCGATTATCAAAAGAAGGTGTCTCTATTGCAGAAGCAAAAGAAACGGGGTGTTAAACTTGAAACCCTGGAGAAGACAAAAGCTGCTGTTAGCCACTTGCACACAAGGTACATCGTAGACATGCAATCCATGGATTCAACAGTTTCAGAAATAAATCGGCTTCGGGATAGACAGTTATTCCCAAAGTTAGTGGACCTTATTGATGGGTAAGTATTCTTTTGCAGCAATTGATTCTCTTATAATTTTAATTGTAGCATACCTTGTGTACATTTCATTCAATTGTAATGGATTGTTTGTCTGTTACCTTGTTTACTGTTCCTTCACATGGATTTGCCATCTGTGCTAGAATATTAGCCTATTAATCACATGTTGTAATTAATTGAACAGTACAGAAAAAAGGGTAAAACAAACAGTGTAAGACATAAGAGTCATCCATTCATTCATGATTTAAGTCACAGAAAAACGATGCTGCTTTATGTGCCCTATGGTAGCCATTGATTGTTTCCAAGGTACCACCTCTGTTCCTTTTTACTTTTTGTAGAATTAGGGAAATCACCTCTCAACCCCCCCCCCCTTTTTTTTTTGGTTTGGGGTGGGGTGGGCTTTCGTATATATATAGAGATATACATTATTGGAGTACAAGTCAAGTTAGACTACAACTCTATCGCTAATACCCGCTCGCAGTCGAAGTGGGGAGGATTCCGGACGCAAGGACTGGACCTAAAGTCAGTGAACAACTGTACTGGTAGTCCTTTCTTCATAGTGTCCGCGAACTGGTGGGAGGACGGGACGTTGAGGACACGAACTTGTCCCAGAGCAACCTTCTCACAGACGAAGTGGATATCAATCTCGATGTGCTTCGTGCGACAATGATGAATGGGATTGCCAGTCATACAGACAGCACTGATTGCAGTAGACGACCGTCGTGGAAGCAATCGGGATGTGAAGCTCATGCATCAGTTGGCGAAGCCAGCAACACTTGGTAACGGCGTGGGTGACATCATGGTACTCGGCCTCAGCACTAGAACGGGACACAGTGGACTGTCTTTTGTAGGACCAGGAGACCAAATTATCGCCAAGGAAGATGCAGTAGCCTGACGTGGAGCGTCGAGAATCCGGACGACCTGCCCAGTTTGCATCATAGTACGCCGTCAAAGACTGGACAGGAACAACGCCGATGTGAAGGTCAGTGTCGAGAGTGCTGTTGTCGACCAGAAACAGGCCATCGGGTGAACGCGTGACAGATGCCGAGGAAGTGATGAAGATGGCCGCCAAGATCTGTCATAGAAAATTCTGCATGAAGACGCTCAATGATCCGCTGAAGGAGAGTCAGAGAAGACGCTGTCAGAACGATGTCATCCACGTAGAGCAGCAGGTAGACAATGCTGTCTCCATCTTTATAAACAAATAGAGATGTGTCGGAGACGGAGGCAGTAAAACCCAAAAGCCGAAGATATGTAGCGAAATGATGACACCAAGTACACGGAGCCTGCTTGAGTCCATACAAGGAACACTGCAAGAGACAAACATGATTAGGGGCAGCTGGATGAACGAAACCAGATGGCTGCTGGCAGTAGATTCTTTCCTCGAGGTGACCATTGGAGAAAAGCATTCTTGACATCCAGTTGATGAATGGGCCAATTGCGAGAAGCGGCGATGCTGAGGACAGTCTGGATGGTGGCTGGTTTCACCACCAGACTGAAAGTCTCATCGTAGTCGACTCCGTGCTGCTTCACGAACCACCCAACGAGCCTTGTGACTAGCAAGAGTGCCATCTGAGTGGAATTTGTGCTTGAAGAACCATTTGCCAGTGACCACATTACCTTCTGGTGGCCGCAGCACAAGCCTCCACGTGCCATTCTCGATCAGCGCCTTGTACTCATCAGCCATGGCTGCACGTCAGTTAGGATCGGCCAAGGCGCTGGCGAGATGGATGCATGAGTGGCCGTCAGGTTTGGATAATCAATGAGCCGATCGACAGGCTTGAGAGAGCCTGTCTAGGAGCGGGTCACCATCCGTCGAAGCAGCGGAGACGTCGGCGAGGCGCCCTGCATCGGTTGGGTCGCAGGTGCAGGAAGCAGCAAGGGGCCAGCCGCCGCCCGAATCACGCCTGTGTGCAGAGGGCCCAGCACAGGCCGAGGTAGGGGTGGTAGCTAATCGCCGGGGCGGGGCGGACGCGTGTAGACCTTTATGATGGTGCGGTCCAGGGTCGGCGGCGGCAGGGGGGGGGGGGCCACGGCAGGTGGCGCCGCGGCGTGAGCGTCGGAAGGTGTCTGCCCAGTCCCTGTTGCAGGAGTGGGACTAGGCAGCGTGCCGACAAGTGGAGGCACCAGCTCACCTGCAGGCTGGCGAATGGCAGAGGGGCCGGCCAGAAATTACCGATTGAGATGATGGTGTAGTCGTCGAAGGCCAGCGAAGAAGACCACGAACGCTCGACACCCGAAACGGGTGTAGCTACCGTGGGAGGGCAAGGCTGCTCAACACCCGAAGAGGGTGGAGCTACCGTCGTCAAATCCTGCAGCAAAAAATGAAGAGCCGATGGGGCTGTTGAACAGCCGCAAATGGAAAGACAGTCTCATCGAACACAACGTGACGAGAGACATGGACGTGGCGTGTAGATAAATCCATGCAGCGATAGCCTTTGTGAGCGGAGGGGTAACTGAGGAACACACAAGCAGCAGAGCGTGGAGAAAGTTTATGGGAAGTCGTGGCACTAAGGTTTGGGTAGCATAAACTCCTAAAAACCTGGAGATGAGAATAATCAGGAATCTTATTATGAAGGACCTGAAAAGGGTGGATGGGCGATGGTTGAGCACATAGGTGGTGGTAGCTAGAGCCTCCGCACAGTAAGCAGGGGGCATAGAGGCATGAATGAGCATGGTGCGCACTATATTGTTGAGGGTGCGAAGCATCCGTTCTGCTTTGCCATTTGTGGGGAAGTATAGGGGCATGACATTTGCAACAAGATACCTTTGCTGGACAGCAAGGAAATGGTAGCAGTGTTGACGAACTCGGTGCCGTTATCAGCCTGAAAGCTCTTGGGCAGGGAGCCGAACTGGGTCTGGGTGTAAGCGAGGAAATCAACAATATGAGAATGAACATCAGATTTATGGCGCAAAGAAAAAGTCTAGACAAAGTGACTGTAATCATCAACTATGACCAAATAATATTTGAAGCCAGAAGTGCTCAACACAGGAAACATCCATACATCGCAATGAAGAAGCTCAAAAGGAGCAGAAGTACTAGAGTTGGAACTAGCAAAAGGCAGATGCGTGTGTTTGCCAAGTTAACAACGTGGTGCTTTATTACAATTTATTGCCGACAATTTACAAAGAGTGGAGACAGCTACAGGATTGGGATGACCAAGACGGTGATGTCACAGGGATGATGAAACGGCAAGGTTGTAGGTGGTGGAGGTGGACGGCGAGGCTGACACACGAAGGGTGTAGAGATCCTGTCACTATTGCAATGAAGAATCACGCGAGTGGTCTGCAGATCCTTAACAGAGAAACCAAAGGCACCAAATTCGATAGAACAATTATTGTCACATGTGAATTGGCGAACAGAAAGTAAGTTTCGAATAAGATTAGGCACGACAGGAATATTGTTCAAAACGAAGCTAGTTCCAGCAAGTGGGAGAATAGAGGTGCCACGACCAGAAATAAGCAAAGTGTGACCATTGCCTACGGTGATGAAGGAAGGAAGGATAGGAAGGCGAGTGAGGAGCGTACCATCAGAAGATGACATGTGGGAGGAAGCGCCGCTGTTGAGGACCCAACGACCAGCGCCCGGGAGCTGTACTCTATCTCTAATACTTTCCTTTTAGGATGCTTTCAGTCTCCAAATGACACACCGTGGCATTGCTTTCTATATCTGTGTGCTAGCAAATGTTACTAACCTTTGAGATTTGAGAAGATGATCACTCCAGTAGTGGAGATAGCGAGCCTCATGGGCCATATGGGCCTATATTAGATGGGCCTTCATATACTTAACACCCCCCTTCAAACTCAAGGTGGAAGTGGAGAATCTGAAGCATTGAGTTTGATCAAGTGAAGCCGATGCTGCTCTCGAGTTTGTGCTTTAGTGAAGAAATCAGCCAACTGCAGCTCAGAAGGCACATACCGAAGAGCAATGGTTTTCTGATGACAATGAGACCGAGTAAAGAAGGCATCAACACCAATATGTTTAGTAAGTTCATGCTTCACAGGATCATTGGCAATTTGTATAGCTCCTGTATTGTCACAAAGGAGGTGTGGTGGCAACATCACAAGAAATCCCAAAGTCAGCCAACAACCATCGAAGCCATACTAGCTCTGAAGTAGTAGTGGCAAGTGCTCTAAGTTCTGCCTCTGTACTAGAGTGAGATACAACTGCCTGCTTCTTGGACTTCCATGCAATAGGAGAGGAGCCAAGAAGAATACAATATCCGGTGATGGAACGACGATCCGTTGAGTCACTCGCCCAAGTGGAGTCCGAGTAAGCATGGAGCTGAAGCGGACTATTACAGGCATAGAATAAACATCGAGATGCTGTCCCCCTCAAGTACTGTAGCACATGAAGTAAATGTCCAAAATGAACAAAAGTAGGAGCACTCACAAACTGGCTCAAAATATGGACTGCATGAGCGATATCTGGTCTGGTAATGGTGAGATAATCAAGACTACCCACAAGGTGTCTATATCTAGAGGGATCCGGAAGAGGTGTACCATTAGTAGGATGAAGTTGCAAGTGAAGATCCATGGGTGTGGCAGTCGTCCGATTGTCAGTGATACCGGAACGAGCAATAAGATCTTGTATGTACTTGGTCTGAGAAATATAGTATCCATTGGCACACTGCTTAACCTCAATGCCTAAGAAATAGCTGAGAGGACCTAAATCAGACATTTGAAAGTGTTTACCAAACTGCTGTTTCACAAGAGAAATATGTTCCACAACATCACCCGTAATCAATATATCATCAACATATAAAAGAAGCAAAGTACGACCACGTGATGAGAGATGAATAAATAGAGCAGGGTCATGATCACTAGGTGTGAAACCAGCAGCCTTTATCATAGATACAAAACGTTCAAACCAAGCATGAGGGGCCTGTTTAAGACCATATAAAGCACGGCGAAGCCGACAACCATAACCTGAAGGAGCATCAACACCTGGAGATGGTTGCATATAAACTTCTTTCAAATCACCATGAAGGAAAGCGTCCTTAACATCCATCTGAGATATTGCCCAAGAAGATGAAGCAGCCACTGCAAGTAAAGTACGAACTGTGGTCATGTGAGCAACAGGAGCAAATGTCTCTTCATAATCCAATCCTGGAGTCTGCTGAAACCCTGTGCAACAAGACGGGCTTTATATCTCTCTATAGAACCATCTGCCTTGGTTTTCATCTTGAAAACCCACTTACTGGTGGTCGGTACAGCATGTGAAGGTAATGGGACAAGCTCCAAAGTGCCTTGAAGATCAAGAGCAGCAAGCTCCTCAGACATAGCAAGCTGCCACTCTGGAATACTAGAAGCTTCTTGATAAGTGGATGCCTCATCAACAACAGCACTCGCACGTGGAAATCCCAACTTGTCAGGAGGCTCAATAGTAGCACGATTCCGGAGATTATATCATGGACCAACCTGTGTCTCATCAGAAATAGCACACAACTCATCATTATTAGTAAAATCAGCAAGACTGGGAGCATTAGGACTGGCCGAGGAAGTGGGAATAGGAATAGGATGTTTAGGACGACGAGAGTAGGTCTTTGTAATTGGTGGATGACGTGGTGGAGATGCAGGAAGGTTGGGTGGCTGATTATCAACAAGAGGTGGTAGAGGAGGTGGTGGAGATGTAGGAAGGTTGGGTGGCTGATTATCAAGGGTGTCGAAAGACGAAGGAATATGAATAAGTGGGCTGGAAGGGGACACACATTGTGGAGTGGCATCATCATTGATTGAATTAGGAGGAAGGCACATAAAGGAGGTGGATTCGGTAGGAGCATATGATGACTTTGTAAAGGAGCTATAAAAGAAAGGACGATCCTCAACAAAGGTGACATCACGGGAGATACGTATGCGGCGAGAAGAGGGATTATAGCAACGATAACCCTTGTGCTCAGGACTATATCCTAGGAAAACACACTTAACCGATTGAGCAGTCAACTTTGTTCGTAACCTTTGAGATTTTGGGTGATTAGGGATTAGATGAGCCCTAATTCGACCCCTAATCCTTGCTTTGTTACCATGTTACTAACCTTTGAGATTTGAGAAGATGATCACTCCAGTAGTGGAGATGGCTATATATATAGAGCCTCATGGGCCATATGGGCCTATATTAGATGGGCCTTCATATACTTAACAGCAAACATACTGGAATTGTAATGGTATTGAAATACTTCTTACTTTTAATGGATTCTAGTATGATTTAATGAGACAACTTAAAAGCCTAAATATTTATATGCATATTTCTGATCAATTTGTTCCAAAAAAGAAATTGACCATGTGGATTCTAGCATGGCAACTGACAAGCTTAAATATTTATATGCATATTTAATGTGGTAGCATTAGTTGTACCTTTCTATAGTACTTTTGTGTGTTGGCAGTAGTAAACAACTGAAGATGGGCCTTGCACATACAATTTGTTATAATATAAAATGCATTCTTAGCTAACAGGTATGTCCTACTGTATAGAACTTTATACCTAGATAAACTATTACTTTTACTATTTTTATGTTTGTCACTAGATGATTGCCCATGCGTTGCAACAAGGGCAATAAAATTTTTCGAGAGAATTTTGGAGTTGTTCAAGAATCCTCTGCCAAGCCCAAATTAAGACATGGAGGGAGTATATAGTTTATATTGCCATTGCATTATTCTTCAAGAAAACTTTATAGCACGCAAACACGCAATAAATAGTGTCTTACTAAACCTCATGGTCCTTGATTATTTATTTAAGAATTGAGGTTTGCTTCAAATTTTCAATCAAGTAAATCATTAGAAAGACGTGAAAAGAAAATATACCTTCTAAGGGTTCTCGACAAACCATCACCTTTTACTTCCATGTTGACAGGATCTATCTAATATAGGTGATATTTAAACTTATTTTCTATGTAAGTTTATCATCTAATTTCCACATTGACATCACTCTATTTTAATTCAATCTTTTTATTTGTCTCACCATGGAATAGGGAGCAAAAAAAAAAAAAAAAAATCTGTCTGTTACTTTCTCTTCCTCGCATTGCATCCTGACGGAGGTTTCTACACTGAGGTTAATATAAAATTGCTTGAGGTGTATGTTGTTACTAAATATCTACCTAAATCAAGAGAAGAATCATTGGAGAACACCTGTACGTTTGCTTGTTGATAGGCCTTCACGTACTATTAAACCCAGCATGTTGGTAAAGTCCATGCTTCAAGTCTGCCCGTGCTTCGATTAGCCGCAGTCTGTAGAGCCTAGAACAGAGCGGTGGGCTGAAGCAGTACTGCAGTAGACAGTGGCGCACTGGAGCTGGGCAATAGGTTTCCAGAATGCCTCCTGTCTGGAACCGGCTTGTGGCTGCGCTTTCCCCAAGCATGGGGGACAGACTGTTTTATCTCTTTCTGAACCTTATCACTTCTCCATATGGCTTTTCTTTTCTTCTCCCTGGTTTATCTCTTCACGCCTCCACGCCTGCAGCAACCAGCAGACCACGGGCGAGCGGCAAAACCACAGTAGGCAAGTGCAGTAGCGTGGGTACCCACGACGAGTGTGCCATGATGGATAGCAGAGCACCACAACCGGCAAGCGCGGTGACGTGGCCACCCACGATGGGCAAGTGTGGTGGCACAGCCACACTCGTACGGCCAGCAAGTGCGGCAGTAGAGCCACCCACGTCAGGCATCGTGCTACAACAGGCAAGGATGACGGTATGGCCACCCATGGTGAGCGCTGCCAAATCAGGCGGCGGTGTGGTCACATCGTGCAGTGGTGTGCACATCCACGTCGAGTGAGCCACGGTGGGGATTCACCGGAGGCAGTAGCGGACCTGGAACATTTTTTGAACCTGGTGATTTAACGGGCTAAATAGCGGAGTAGGCCTAATCTCCACTGACATTGGCTATACATTAATTAGATCTAGTGGAGTTCAATGCCGAGGAGCCTGGGCGGAGGCCTAGGGTCACCGGGCCCTCGGTCCGCTAGTGACCGAAGGAATTCCTTCACTGCCTCCTCTCCATGGAACACACCCGCCGTTACCTCTGAGAGTGGAGAAAGGAGATAAAAAATGGGGAGAAGAAAAATGATGAGGAGAAACATGGATCTATCTGTTGGCGTGAATTTTTTTTATATGATGGCAGTGGTGTTGGGGGTGGGGGCACCAACTTCACCATGGGTTGAGTTGTGTCTCTTTAGTCAATGTCAAAAATAGAAAATTAAGCTTTTCAATCAACAGACTATCACAAACTAATGAATTCATGAGTGATGGCCTCAATAAAAGGGTGTACCCAGTGCAGAGAGCTCCCGCTCTGTGCGGGGTCTGGGGAAGGGTGTTAGTGGCAAGCCTTACCCTCGTCTGTGCAATGCGAGGAGACCGCGACTTGAACCCGGGACCTTCCGGTCACAGGCGGTAAGACTCTACCACTTGCACCAGGCCCGCCCTTCGAGTGATGGCCTCAATAAACAAATAAATTGCTTTACATTTTCTATTGGATTTGTCTTGTTGAATGAGGAGAAATGTCTGCTATATATGGCTTGCTGTTACTGGCAGACTTTGGAACTTTTTTCTTACCATTTCCCCATATTTACCTTTTGCAGAATGGCCAAGATGTGGAGTTCTATGCACCGTCATCATCGAAGTCAGTTTCTGACCATTTCTGGAATAAGAGGATTTGAGATTCCTCCTGTTCCAAGAGAGACAACTGATTCTCATTACATCCAGACTTGTGAGCTACGTGACATTGTTAGGGAGTGGCATACGCAGTTTGAGAAACTGATGGACAATCAGAAAGCATACATCAGAGCGCTCAATGCATGGCTGAAGCTCAATCTCATCCCAATTGAGAGCAACATAAAGGAGAAGGTCTCCTCCCCTCCAAGGCTGGTGGATCCACCCATCAAGCACCTGCTGCACGCCTGGCATGACGAGCTCGAAAGGCTTCCAATTGAGCTTGCAAAAACAGCCATTAAAACCTTTGCCGAAGTCATAAGCAATATCGTGCACCTTCAGGAGGAGGAAGTAAACCTAAGGAGGAGGTGTGATGAAACTCGTAGGGATCTGACCCGAAAGAGGGCACAGTTTGAAGATTGGCATCAAAACTACTTGGAGAGACGGGCAGCCTTTGGTGAGGATACAAACCCAGATGCAGCAGAAACTCAAAACATAGATCCTGTCGAGGATAGGAAACGCAACATCGAGGAATTAGAGGTTCGGCTGAGAGAGGAGGAGGGGCACCATCTTAGGCATGCCAGGCAGGTGCGGGAGAAATCACTTGCAAACCTCCGGACACACCTGCCAGAACTTTTCAGGAACATGGCCGATTTTGCTTACTTTTGCCATGACATGTACAATAATCTTAGAAAAACTGCTGTGCTGCCCAAAGATGAAGTCTAAGGCTGATATTTGTGCGTCTGTAGTCGTACTCAACAAGCAGAATAAGGGACTCTGGTTTTAGGTGTTTGCTGGTAACTTGGGATCCCGAGGCCATCAAAAATTTATTGGAACTTAGTCGTATAGAGCTAATAGTCGGAATTAATTATGTTTATAAATTGGAATGGACATTCCTGAGTTACCATTGTTTATTGCCATGCTCTGTACTGCATTGATGCGTTATTAAATCTTCGATTGCTCTAAGCTATCGCTGAGCCAATCGAGCAAAATGCACATGTTCATTAACTTTTCCACTTGTGTGTTGGATCTATTAACTTTCAAAGCGAAGATTTAGGTCATTAAAAATGTTGCCTATACCAGTTTGGGGAGGATAGATCCGACGTGTACACGTATGTACACGGTCGGAACTCTATAGACCAAAGGCACCTTTGGCCCTGCCTATATTGAAAGCAAAGAGTTTTGTTGGGATACCAGCTTACAATGAAGACTCAAAGTTCAGTAACATAACAGGGAAACAAAACCTCTCCGCCTCTCAGAACTTAACAAAAGACATCTAGACCCAACGTTTTAGGCAAAGGAACAAGAAGGAAAAAACAAAACAACGCTGGGCACGACAGAAACAACACCCTTCTCCATAGGACGCCAAGTCTTCAGCAGCCTTTGATCACCATGCCCTGAGCCCTTCCTGGAGTTTCTGATGGTTGGAACTCTACGTTCGGCCAGTCCCCTCTTCCCCCCTGGTCCCTTTCCTTGAGTCTGTCATCTTGGCAAGAGCGTAGAGTGAACTAGGTGGTGGTGGCCGGATTCTTGGAGGATCGATGACAGTATGTGAGCTTGGGGTGGAGAAGAGGGGTGTGTGCTGCTAGAAATCATGCATTTTCATGCCTGATCGTAGTGAATCTTGTGGTCGTTTCTCATGGAAGTTCTCACTCATTTGAAATTTGGCCAGTCGGTGTAATCTCATTTCTAATCTAGTTCGTACCGCTTCCACTCGGATCCTTCTGAATGGACAACCAGAAGCAGAAATTAGACATTAACGTGAGCTCGGACAAGGAGACCCACTCTCTCCGATGCTGTTTATTTTGGTGATGGACGTCCTAAATAGTCTTTTCAACAGGGCTGGTGAGATTGGGTTGCTATCACCTCTATCTTGTCGCAACCCGGGGTAGCAGATATCACTTTATGCCAATGATGTGGCTATCTAATACCTGTGTAGGAAAGATGAATCTCACCATTCATATATTTGGAAAAGTTTGGTGAAGCATCAAGACTTAGAACCAATTTGCAGAAACGTTGTGTTATTTCTATTAGGTGTGAATACCAGGCTATTGACAGAGTGAGTATGATTCTTCCTTGCACATTGGCAGAATTTCCATGTACGTACTTGGGGTTACCAAATTCAGATAAGAAACTAAGGAAGTCAAGCTTGCTGCCTTGGATTGAGAAGATTGGAGATAAACTACCGGGATCGAAAGCTATGCTTATGAACATGGCAGGGAGAGCTACTGTGGTTTGGTTTATTCTGTCCGCAATTCCAGTTTATGTGTTGATTGCTATCAAAGGTACTGAAATGGTTCGTCAAGGCAATGGATAAAATCCGATGTGCTTTCCTTTGGAAGCGGGCGTGATGGGTGCTTGGCTACTTTGGAAACATAGAAACTTAGTTGGTTTCTATCAACATAGTGATTGTTTTGGGTGCTTGGCTACTTTGGAAACATAGAAACTCAGTTGGTTATGAAGGAGCTATCCCAAATTAGGGTGTTATTTTCTGGTCCTTCAGGGACGAACGTCACCTTTGGTCCTTCGTGGGAAAGCTAGGTCTCTGATCTTTAGGTTAATGTTGTGGTAACTTAGCTATCAGGCAGGGGCGAAGCTACGCTTTGCTGTTGGGGTCAGCTGACCCCGGTGAATTTGTGCAAACTTAGTGACAATTATTGTTCTACACTGTTCTCTAAAGACAAAGACCCCAACATACATTATTCCTGACCCCGGCGCCAGTTTCGCCTGGCTTCGCCCCTGCTATCAGGGGGTGTGTGGTCAGGTCTTGCCTTTTGTGTTTTTATAGTTTCTGCTCAGTCATTTACTTCATGGCCTGCTTATATCTTGGTCCGGAGTAAGGAGCTTAATTTTGTAAGGGCCATTTTCCTCTCTTAATACAAAGATATATAGCTCTCCTACGTGTTCAAAAAAAGAAGGATGGTGGCGATGCTGCATGCAAAGGGGTGAGCCAATCAAAGCCCTAATCTCTAAATTAGTTGGTAGTAGGATGGCAATTTGGATGTGCATGTCCTAGTTTTCTAATTTTGGCAGTGCTGGATGCAGATCAACGCATCATGCACAGGGAATTAGAAGGGTAGCACACAGGAAAAATTTATATTGGTTCGAGTACGGGGTACCCTATGTCCAGTTGAGAGTAGATCTCTTTACCTCATATGCTCGAGTTTACAAGGGTGATGATGACTAGTTGTCTATGTAATGTAGCCTAAAAGTTTGAAGATGCTCATCGGGGGCTCCCAACCCCTCCTTATATTGTCTGGGTGTAGGGTTATAAGGTTCCCGATCAGTTTATAGATGGGTTTCCTAGTGTCGCGGTGATTAATGATGACACGAGATTACTATGACTAACGTGTGTTTTGCAGAGGCAATTTGAGTTAGGTCATAGTAATAGGAATTGATTGGGCAATCATGGTTGTCATGCCCTTGTCGATGGAAATCGTTTCAGTTTTCAAAGAATGGACGACAAGGTTAAGGACGGATTAGTTCTAAGTATCGTTTGGTGTTGGAGGGATACTTAGAGTAGTTTTGGACTTTATTTTTCCTTTAGCCGTACTATTAAGGGGGTATGGACTTGTAGCTTGACCTAGATAAGTCTAATGGATTAGGTGTGGTGCACACTTGTCAAACTTAGCACTAGGTAGCTCAGGAATAGCCCTAAGATCAATTGGAGTCAACTTCATTCACATAGGATTTTGAGTTGGAAGTGAATGGAGGGTGAGTCCGGTCAGCTCATTTGATCAACTGCAGTCGTTTGGTACTGACCGGACGCTGGTCTGGTTGTGACCGGACGCTGGAGGGTGAGTCCGGTCAGTTCATTTGATCAATTACAGTCGTCTGGTACTGACCGAACGCTGAGTGGAGGAGCATCGGACGCTGGGGTGCCTTTGTCCGGTCGACTCCAGTAAGGTTCCAGAAATGACTTTTCTTGACCGGGCACGTCCGGTTGGTGCTAACTGGACGCTAGTCAGAGTCTGGTCAGAGCTTAACGGCTCTCTCTGACTTAGTGACGGGCACAACTGATCAGAGCATTCGATCACCTTGACCGGAGCATCCGGTCAGCCCGTAGAATGATGACTCAGCCTCCAAACATTATGTTTTGAATGTGGGGGTATAAATACTTACTCCACTCGTCCATAGGGGTCTCTTGCCCATTTGTTCAGCTGAGAAACACCTTTGGAGTGTAAGAGAGAGCAAGTGCCTAGTGGGGTGATTGAGATTCGATAATCCAAGATTAAGGACCTCATTAGTGCATAGGAAGTAGCAAGTGTGCATCCACCTTTCTCATTAGGCTTGTCTTGGTCAAGTGAGAGTTTGTGCTTGTTACTCTTGGTGATTGCCATCACCTGGACGGCTCAGTGATGATTGGAAGCTTGGTGATCATCCGGGGAGCTTGTGGATGACCAAAGTGATGTTGTGAGCGGTTGTGTGCGATTCACCGTGGCGGAGTGTCAAAGAATCAGCCCGTAGAGAGCACGTGATCTTTGCGCGGATCAAGGGGGAGCTACACCCTTGCGCGGGTGCTCCAACGAGGACTAGTGGGGAGTGGCGACTCTCCGATACCTCAGAAAAACATCGCCGTGTTCCTTTCCCTCTCTTTACTTTGAGCATTTACATTTGAGCAATTCATTTCATGTCTTTACATTCCTAGAATTGCTATGCTACAGTAGGATTGGAACCTAGGGTGCAAAACTTTTGTACGAGAGAACAATAAAAACACATTCTAGGCACAAGGGGTGAAATGGGTTAAGTGTAAGACTTAATTGTTGCTAAAATTTAGAATTAGTCCAATTCACCCCCTCCTCTTGGGCATCTTGATCATTTTAGAAGCCACGGCAAGCATCGTTGTTCATCGAGTGTCACTGAGTGTGGGTCTCCGGTGGCTCGAGTGGACTCAAGAACACAAGAGAAGACACAACGATATATCTTGGTTTAGGCTATTAGAGCCGTATGTTCGGCAGTGGTTGTTCTTTGTATTTGAGAGCACCCAAATCGAGGGGTTTATGGGGGGTCTGACCCTAGGTACCCACTACAATAGACATGGGCCGCACCAACAGGGAAGGTCCAGCCCATAAGACGAAGACTGGCGACGCATGGTACTGCTCAGCGCACGCCGCAAGACATCTCGATGACATCCTGAAGATAGCATGTGATCTGTTAGGATATGCCGAATGTAAGATTCCATGTACAGTTATTTGTTACCCCGATTAGACTTAGACCTGATTGGCATGTAACCCTATACCCCGGGCTATATAAGGCAGGTAGGGGACCCCCTCGAAACTTATTTCAATCGTATACAATAGCCAATACAAACCGACAGAAGACAGGATTAGGGTATTACGTCGAGCTGACGGCCTAAACCTGTCTAATCTTATGTCTCTGCCACCATCTTGTTCCTGTTCACGCTCACCTCTTCGATCAATCTACCATCGTAGGTATCCCCCTCGGTGGACTGCCGAGCATATTTAGTGGACAGTTGGCGCACCAGGTAGGGATGTGCGCTTGATCCCATGGAGGACTAGATGGTACGTCTTACAAGCTCTCCATTCACCCCTAGGCGCGGCCAGATCTTCACGGTCGGATCAATCACCTGGGTCATCGACAACAACGGCAATGGTGAGATCGTCCAACCGGTGCAGGATAATCCTGTGCCGGCCATGCTTTCACCTGCATCAGCAGATCCGATCATGGAACCTCTTTTGGAGTCGCCTTCCTCACCAAGAGTTTGC